GGAGGGTTCAAAACTGCAATCAGATCGGATATGCATGTCTTTTTGCGAGGCAAAGCTTGGTGAACTTTATCGGTATCTTGAGGCTAATTTGTCTTAACAAAGTCAGATATCAGTCCTTAAATCCCCTTAAGCAAGCATACGTGACTCAGATTCATCTTCAAGACCTATCGAAAGTTCAGGATCCTACTCTGTCTGTATGGATCGACGTGATCGATCTTAATGGCAAATATAAGGTTACATTCAACGCTGTTATTTTTCCAGACTTCCAGCCATTTTAGGCCTCTTTCTTCGACTTGCGGACTGACAGGGGAGTTTCCCACAATTTACTGAATGAGTATCATTCATGGTGGACTGCTGTTTCGACCTTGCCTCCTCATTCCATTAGCATGAAAAATTGGATTTAAAACCGGTTGACAGATTGATGAAACGTTTATCAAGAAATAAAAAATAAATATAAATATGATCTCCTGGTAGTCTCGAAAACCTACTAATAAACGAGTAAAAGTGTTCGAGATCCAGTATCGGGTTTGCTTCCGGCGTCACTCTTCGTTTATGGCACCATCAGCCAAAGCCTCATTTGTGGTAATGCAGCTCCAATTACTGAGCCTCGAGACTTTAATGCTGGTATCCAAAAAACAATCGCATTTATATTATCCGGTCTGATGGTAGAAAGGTAAGACTGATACTATCAGTGCTCTTGCCTGAACCTAGAGCTTGTGTATGCTTTAATTTCGCCGGAGCCATCACTATGACGAGTAGTAGCGAGTTCTTGATTAAGGCTTATTCATTCTATGGATAAGAAGAGTATCTGGGTTTTGATAAATCTCATAAGAAAACATTGTTCAGGATCCGACATATTTTGATTTGTTGAAAACATTTTTTCCTCTTCTCTAATCACCAAGACATTAAAAAAGAGTAGGGACGTATTCTCTCCTTCTTCCATTGCGAAGCTGAGGTTCTTTTCGCGTTGTTTATGTGAAAGCAAGGAACTATCTAAGCTCTATTTAAAGAAAAGGCTAAGTTAAGAAGAGATGCTTATGGGAAGCCAACATATGTTGGCTCCTTTCTGAATTTTATTTCGAATCAATTGCAAAACTAAAGTTAAAATTCTGAAGTCAATGCTTCATAAGTGTGAGGCTAACGGATAGTTAACCATTCGACTAGAGTTGGAATGCTAAAACACTTATTCATGAAAAATAATTATCTTTTTGGCTTAATTAATGATAATATCTCTTTACTGAGAAATAAATTTCCAGACAGAGACCATTTATTTTTCTTATTTGAGTAGAGTTTCGAGACTACCAGTAAATCAGTAATATGAGATGAATTCACCCAATTTCGTTTAGGTGATAAAGGACTGATAGAAGAAGAATTTTCCCACAATGATATGAGTTGAACTGACGTTTCCATTGAATTTGACATAGCCCTACTTTCCCAGAAGTTGTACTCATCCAGACTGAAGTGGACTGCAGTTTCGACTTCGCATCGGTCTTATCGACAACCCCAGCGGGAGTCGAACCGTGACAGTGCAGAATGTTAGCTTGACACGTTAACAGCTCGACCACATTGCCACGAGTGCCCTTGGGTCACGAGCCTATTTAGTTAGCGTTAAGCAAGCTGTGACCTTTTATCAAGTCACAATTTTGCCATCATGTCTTTTTCAAAATATACAGGCGAACAAATGAAGAAGGAGGAGGCAAAAAGGTTTTAAATAGACCCCGACATTTTGTTTGGTTACGGCAACTTCAATGGCGAAATATTACCCATCTTCGAAATCCAACTACCACAAGACTGTAATTTCCTGTGGTCAAACTTATGCTGGTGGGACATGCCGGTCTATTCGTAAAGGGTTAGATGAACACAAAAATTCTCGTAAAGGGAGCTGGCTCCACGGGTCAGAAGTGGCCGAACACAGACCGGAGACTGGACACGAGAAAGAAGTCACGGAAGCAGGGAATGGCTGCTAGAAGAAACTACGAGAGGATATTGTAATTAATAGATCAGGGAATAAATTGAATATGAAGAATGGTGGCAGAAAGTTGAGCAAGAATGATTTATCAAAAATATGAAAACAAAGATGGTGTGGCCTACCGTTTAGTCGTAGTCTCCTTTAGCTTTATAGTGGTGATTTGACCGCGTTTGCATAACTTTGTCGAAGCATTAGGAAGACATTGTGGAACGTACTTAGTCCTGCGTCCATCTGCCTTAGTAATCATGATTTCCAACGTCAGACCAGTGATTTGGTACATTCCCATACGTTTTTCCGCTATCGTCAATGAGAGGTGCCATCGTCAGAACGGAGCTACAACTTAACAAAGTGACAAGTGAAGGAATCACTTCCCGCTCCTACTTTTTTCTTCTACCTTCTAGTGATGCATCTCTTTCCCTCAATCCCATTTCATATGGCCCATCCGCTTATTCACACAGTTCTGAACTCTCGTTTTTCTCCAATTTGGCCTAAGAGTGTGCCGCCAAAAGTGGGTTTATTGAGGCGTCATAATCTTCATCGCCAGTACCAGGTACCGTTTGTGGGGCACCCGACCTTCATTCATTGCTCCCCTCTCCTACCCTGCTTCCCATTTGGTTGCTGCTAAGCCTCAAAATCACTGTTCGACTGTCTGAAATCCAGTTGCCTAATAGCCTTCAATTCTTGTGCCCGTTTACGTCACATTCGATGATTTAGCGCAGATCATGCCCATGCCAATGCATGGTAAGTTTCTTCTCCCTAGGCTTCGAACCCATGACTCGGTTATCCTCTTTCCCATCCCCACCCACACTTCACCTCATTCTTTTGGGCCCTGTTAGCGGCGTGGAAAAATGGGAGCTGAAGGAAGGCCAGACGGCCTGCAAACGGCACCTGAAACCAGTGATGAGGATGATTATGCCTCACTAAATCTACTTGTAGCGACAGACTCTTAGGCGACATTGGAAGAAACGAGAACAC